AGAGAGAGAGAGAGAGAGAGAGAGAGAGAGAGAGAGAGAGAGAGAGAGAGAGAGAGAGAGAGAGAGAGAGAGAGAGAGAGAGAGAGAGAGAGAGAGAGAGAGAGAGAGAGAGAGAGAGAGAGAGAGAGAGAGAGAGAGAGAGAGAGAGAGAGAGAGAGAGAGAGAGAGAGAGAGAGAGAGAGAGAGAGAGAGAGAGAGAGAGAGAGAGAGAGAGAGAGAGAGAGAGAGAGAGAGAGAGAGAGAGAGAGAGAGAGAGAGAGAGAGAGAGAGAGAGAGAGAGAGAGAGAGAGAGAGAGAGAGAGAGAGAGAGAGAGAGAGAGAGAGAGAGAGAGAGAGAGAGAGAGAGAGAGAGAGAGAGAGAGAGAGAGAGAGAGAGAGAGAGAGAGAGAGAGAGAGAGAGAGAGAGAGAGAGAGAGAGAGAGAGAGAGAGAGAGAGAGAGAGAGAGAGAGAGAGAGAGAGAGAGAGAGAGAGAGAGAGAGAGAGAGAGAGAGAGAGAGAGAGAGAGAGAGAGAGAGAGAGAGAGAGAGAGAGAGAGAGAGAGAGAGAGAGAGAGAGAGAGAGAGAGAGAGAGAGAGAGATATCCTTTTTTTCTTCCCTACGATAAGATCGATCTCCCTCCGCGAGATCACTCCTCGCGATGAATAATGTATTTCTTACACAGCCCTTCCTTAGTTACGACGTACGGTATCTCGCGTGCCTCCGTCTTCGATTCTACAAAGCGCAACTGCGGGGAGAATTGCGCCGCAACTTCTATCTCTCGATTCCGCGCCTCGTTGCTTATGCATCATCCTGTACGTTTGACTTTGTTGTCAAAACGTTTACGCTCAAAGGCTCCTCTCGCAGTCTCTCGAGTCGGCAACATGGTCTCTGTCACCTCTCATTATATCTCCCGCCGAGATATATACAAGTAGCGATATATAACGACGATTTTATCATCGATACGTCGTTCCACCGAATTATTGTTACAAAGATATGCAAGCGTGGACTTCTGTGGTCCCAGTGGAATTTACAAAAATCGTCGAGATTACCGTTAATTCCCGCAATCTCTTCGACCACGTCGTGGGGTCTCTTCAGCGTCATCCGTGAGTCTTTTCAGGCGAATAGAACCAAGTAGCTTTAACAACGTTTGTACTTTCGTGATACTATTGGGCGCGTGATATATAATACATACATATGTATCTTTCACGTTAAAAGCTCTCGCTGAGCATATTCGGTGTCACTGTAGTTATGGTAACGCGTGGCAAGGTCCGTGGAAATGCGGATGATGGCAAAACAAATTGCACGAGTTCGCCGGGGGCTCTCTGTTACACATCATCTTCTATACTACGCAGAGGTATCTGTTGTTTCTGTGCTAACGCGTTTAGCACATACATCAACTGCTCCAGCTTCTTGTCCATCACCGACAGCTGAAAGCAGAAACATCGTCTCGATGCACATTTGAATCTGCAACTGTACACAGTTGGAAAATTTGTGTTTTCTTGTTAAAAAAATATGCCGTTAAATATTTAATACATTTAGGTGTTAATTTAACATATTGCTGTTGTGTTAATTGAACTCAAATGTTAAATTATTAAAACGGGTGTTGTTCCGAATGAGCCACCCCTTCGATTGGGAACTTTGCATGTGGTCTCAAGAGATCATATTAAGGTCAATTGTCAAGGTCCCATATGTGGGTTTTGAATGGTTTAAAAGTTATAACCAAAAATATCACTGGAATTGGTAAAAATCGACAAAAGAAGACCCAGCCCCAATGACCTTGACATATGTTATCAAGATTATGTCCCTGAATAATATTTAAAAGATTTTAGTTGTCGCTCATTCTTTATTAAAAAGTTAGTAACAAAAAATGTTTCATAAATGAAATGTAATTCTTTATCTTTGAGAAAAATTATCAGGTTGCATTTGATAATAAATGAAACTATATAGGGTGCGGCATTTAAATTGATACATCCAAATATCATAAAAACAAAGCATCTTATAAAAAAATGTTTCAAACAAAAGTATTACGGTAAGATTATAGAAAACTAAATATTTTACGAGATATTTTATATATTTTATATTAAAATATGTCATATTAAGATATAAAACAACTCGAAAAATATTTAATGAAAAAATACTTTATTATAGTGTTTTGAAAAAGTCTCAAGAATATGCAATATAAAAATATGCTATAAGAATACGCAATAAAAAATAGGGGTTTCCATTCAGAAAAATGAAGTTGACCTTCAAATGATCTTCCACCAAATTAAAAATAAATAATTTCTATTCTCTTCCCCCCCTCAAAAGTAAACAACTTTTGTCTAAAATGTTTTTTATAAAATGTTTTTATAATATTTAGATGTGTCATTTTAAATGCCGCACCCTGTATAACAAACAATATAACAAACTATATAATAATCTCACAAAAAACGCGTGGACGGAATTTATTTCAAATTACTATAAAGTTCGCATTAATTTTGTGTTGAAATATTAACATAGTATTAGTGTCACAATTTAACACATCCATATTATGTTAAATTAACACAAAAATTTGTGTGGGCTGCTTGGAACATGCGATATATGTTAAATGTAAGTCAAATTTTCCAACTGTGTGTAAATTTTTCATCTCGAGAATGAGAGTTTACGCTTCTATTTATATTAAATATTTTATTTGACAAATTATATGCAAGAATCTTTGACGATGATCGGAAATGTCGCAAAATGGAGCCAATTCTACATAATTAATTCCAATGTCAGTTTCTCTCGCAAAATAATTAAGCGTCAAATATAATCCCATCTTGTATCTTTCGTAATTCGCGCTTTCCTCTTTTTGAGCCGAGGAAATCTGTGAGTCGAAAGAATAATTTATAAAAAAAGATCGATATCGCATCCAAATTTTCTATAATGACAAAAATCATCGGAAGAATTGTTCGAGAGATAATTTGGTAAAAATCGTAAGTATTGCCAGTACAATTTTATCGTAACTTTGTCGCAAATTGAAAAGTTCATTAGCAATCTTTCCTAAATTCATATTAAATAAAAAAATAAAGATCATGTGTATATTAATATATGCGAATATAAGACGGTTTAGAAATAATCTTTTCAATTATAGTACATATATATCACACACGCAAAAACAGAAATAAATTTTATGCTAAATTATATACTGTTTAGAAATTAAAATAAAATTAAATAATTATGATAAAATTATGGTAAAGTGAAAGAGAGAAAGAAAGACGCACTTGCTGCTCCACTCGATATAAACGCGCACCAATCGTCATGGGTTTCACATTGCCTGCCCGGTCGATTCCCGCCAGGTAACTCCCCGGTTTACCCAGGGTCTGATCCAATCTCCTCTGCAACTCCTGCGAACAAATGGAACGTGCTTTTAATGTTCCGTGCATTTACATCAAAAAATGCAAGTATTGCAATTAATATCGTCTCATTTCTCTGTGCTCATTACTTCTTTTACGATCGTTTTTACAATCTGATGCAATTTTTGTGGAACGTCATTGAGATAGTGATGAAAAATTCGTAGATGTATTCCCAAAACTCTGTCGCTATTCTTGCATAAACCAGAAACTCAACAATATATAAAAAGTCAAAATTTCGGCTTATGATTAGAATTAATGTAAAAAAATGTATGTATCATATATCAAAACATTGACAAAAGCATGAAAATTTCGTAGATTTTTCTTACTATTTCATCTGTGCAAAACTTGAGCACAATTCTTTTAATAGTTTAAAAATTATTTAAGTTTTAAGAAGTTATTTAATTTGTATTTAGTCTTATGGAAAATCACGTATTATAGCACTTATTGACAAATTTGAAAACAAAAGGATATTGCCAGCGTAATAAAAATTTTCAAATGTATTAACAAAATTCTAATAAACATTTGTGCAAAACTTGATTTAGATCTACTTACTTGTTTAAAAGATATTTACTAAAAATTGTAGCAAAATACTTATAATCACCCAAAATCTTTCTGTAAATTACTCTTTTTTTTGTTTTTGCAGTTGATTTCAGGGGGTATTCATGACCAAAAGTTTTTGTCATAAATTAAAAAAAATATTGGTTACAACTATTTTCTTTTATGAAGATGTTAAGGGGGGTTTCTACTTTGTTAGCATTGAAAAATAGGCAATTTTTCGAAATTTTTGGGAAAGGAATTAATAAAGATAGAATGATAAACTTTGGTATCCACAAAAATATATCTTTATTGAATACAAGATAAAATCGCCATGGTATTTGGAGCTGTGAGGGGCCGAGGGGGCGGATCAAGCAGCCCGGTGAGATAAATGACGATGGATCTTCCAGAGCCTGCAAAAATTATCTGAAACAAAAGAATCGACCAGTTTTATAATCTGTAGATGTTTGCGCATAAAATAGACTAGAATAAAGAAAAATATAAAAAATTTTGAATGAGTTATGATTATTCAAAGGCAGTCATTCTTTTTTGGGAAAAATTTTTTTTTCTTTGAGTAACCATAACTCACTCAAAATTTTTTATATTTTTTTTATTCTGGTCTATTTTATGCGTAAACATCTACAGATTATAAAACTGGTCGATTCTTTTGTTTCAGATAATTTTTGGGATAGGAATTTTTACAATGTCCTCTATAAATTAAATGGGAAAATCGACAAGTAAAAAGGGGGGTTTCTACTTTGTTAGCATTGAAAAATAGGCAATTTTTCGAAAATTTTAGGAAAGAAACTAATAAAGATAGAATGATAAAATTTGGTATCCACAAAAATATATCTTTATTGAATAAAAAAAAGAATTGCCATGGTATTTGGAGCTGTGGGGGGGCCGAGGGGGTGGATCAAGCAGCCCGGTGAGATCAGTGACGGTGGAATTTCCAGAGCCTCCAAAAATTATCTGAAACAAAAGAATCGACCAGTTTTATAATCTGTAGATGTTTGCGCATAAAATAGACTAGAATAAAAAAGAATATAAAAAATTTTGAGTGAGTTATGATTATTCAAAGGCAGTCATTCTTTTTTGGAAAAATTTATTTTCCTTTGAGTAACCATAACTCACTCAAAATTTTTTATATTTTTTTTATTCTGGTCTATTTTATGCGTAAACATCTACAGATTATAAAACTGATCGATTCTTTTGTTTCAGATAATATTTGGAGGCTCTGGAAATTCCACGGTCATTTATCTCACCGGGCTGCTTGATCCACCCCCTCGGCCCCCCCACAGCTCCAAATACCATGGCAATTCTTTTTTTTATTCAATAAAGATATATTTTTGTGGATACGAAAGTTTATCATTCTATCTTTATTAGTTCCTCTTCTAAAAATTTCGAAAAATTGCCTATTTTTCAATGCTAACAAAGTAGAAACCCCCCTTAAAAGCCATATTATTTTGTGATACTTTAATTCTTTTTATAATTCAGATTTATTTATTTGACTTTCCAAGCAGTATAAACTTAAAAAATATGTTCTTTTTAAATTTTGACAGCTTTTTGCTATTATTGTACAGCCATAACATACTCGCTGTGACAATTCGAGAGTTATCGATCTTGTCAATACAGAGAGATAGAGAGAGAGAGAGAGACAAAGAGAATAAAGCCTCTTTCATTTATTGTGAAACACTAAACCTTCTTTGACAAAGAACAAGAGAGAGTGAGCTCACACAAGTTGAATTATTCGTGATTGACATTTTGTCTCTCATCGTTCGTTTTTTAACATTGTGATCTTTCCCGCGGCAACCATCGAACGTTAATACTCTATCTTTCGAATCCAAATTAGTATTATCGTTTAATGTAACGATTAATTTAATATCATCAACAACAGACGAATCGCGCGTTGTAAGTATAAACGGATAAAATTGTAGTTATACAATACATTGGACTGCTTAAAATCAGGTGTGTGTGTATACGCGCGTGCACGTGTGTGTGTGTGCGTGCGTGTTGAATGTATTTAATTTAAAATCTTATATTAATTTATTATATATATAAAAGATGCCGGTTTTTTATATTAACAGTTTTCAGATAATTTCGAAGAAAAAAATTATTGTAGAAAATCTTAGTCACATTATATTGACATCGGAGGAAGACTTGTTATATGAATATTAAAAATGATCTTGTTGAGAAATAGAAAATAAATTATTTCCATTCGGTAAACTGATTCTCGTTATGTTATTAAAGTCAACGACGGTTTCGCTGCAACAATACATTTGCTAAGACTATGTTGCCTTAGCAGCAAATTAGATTTCCTTTCCAGCAGTAAATTTAAGACGCTTCTACAAGCAAATTTACTTGAGCAAGATTTTTCTATTTTACCAACAAAACAGATTTTACTATAATATCAGTAGTAATTGATTATAATATCGGCTATGATATCAAATAAATAGCAGCAAAATTTGGTCGCTCTCACATCGAACATGCAGCAACAATTTATCTATACAAACGTAAATATACAGTTCAAAAATATGTTTTCTTATTAAAATATATGCCGGTTAAAATTTCTGTGTTAAATATTTAATACATTCATGTGTTAATTTAACATATTGCTTAATTGAACTCAAATGTTAAATTATAAAAACAACTGAAAAAAGTGTAAAAATAACACAATGTGCACATATTTTTAATTTTACACGATAGATATATTCCGTATTATTAATAAAACGATTTATCTGTCAAAATTAATAGAAAAAGATGTTGATTTTATTCTAGAATAGGAATGAGAATGACTACAGACCATCAATGACACTTTTCCAAGTTAATTTTATTGTTAAAAATATGTTGATTTTATACGAAATTTTTTTCAAATTACTATGAAGTTTGCATTCATTTCTCTCTCTCTCTCTCTCGCGTTGAAATATTAACATAATATTAGCGTCACCATTTAACATATCCGTATTGTTAAATTAACACAAAAATTTATATGGACCGTTTGAGACATGCAAAATATATATTAAATTTGAGCCAAATTTTCCAACAATAGACATGTACCAAAAGTATCTCGCGAAGATACAACTAGAGTGAATTCTGCGGTGTTCGTTCAGTGCGATCGATCTTTGACGTTCAACGGACGTAGACATACAAACTGTAACGATTCCTTGATTAATTGTCGGCTGTTTCACGCCACGGCTCCATTGTCTTCTGTAAATCGACGTGTACCTTGCCGCTGTCCCCGTCGATCTTGTCGAGCTAATCGTTAGCGATCGTACATGTTGGCGATTGAACGAGACGAATAATTCGCTATTGGCGATCGTTCAGTAATCCGTTGAATAAAGACAATTATAGCTTATTACAAGTTCATCCATCATTATTACAATGCACAATGAACGATTTGGAGCGATTTATCGAGAGACAGACGTTTCGCGAGCGAGACCGTATTTTCTAAAATAATCGACTACTATCTCTTTCCTTGAATGGCGATTATCCGGGAGATAATGGCAAACAAAAAGAATCATTATCGAGGAACTCACCTTAATCCGCACCATCATGTTTAAGTGACCTTGGCTATATTGTTCAATGACGTCACGCACATCGTATGGTTTCCGAGCCTGTTGAAACTTTCTGCGAGCCACGAAGTATTTGATCTTTCTGATTGCCCGGATAGCATTTCGGTGTGTTTCTGTCAGCCTAGAAGACGTAGTAGAAGTCCAAGTTTAAATCGACATGTTACAAAAAGGGAAGGACACATTATTTATTTCCCTTTTTTCATTCTTGTTACGACAAAATGTGAAGAGAATGTGAAATCATTAATAATATAAGAGAATAAAAATGCTGTCGCCTAAAAATGTGTGTTAGTTGTATTGTAATTGGAACATCGCTTTATCGACGCGATATTCGATCGCGAATCACTTTATTACGGTAGTAGTTTCAGATTCGAATTTTTGATTTAGTTTAAAAGAGAAGTTGACACTACTTCGAGAGAGCGAGAGAACTGCGATCTTCGCTAACTTAATTTTCCTAGTCGATGGCACGATGAGATGCAACTAGATACAGCTCGTTTCCCTTTTATCGTACGCTACGGCCAAGAAACTGATAAAATGTAATATTAAATCTCGATAATGTAAATTGTATAAAGTATCCTATATTTAAAGGCATTTCCAAACTAAAGCGTTAATATGCTATAATTGAATCTCAATAGAATAACTACACTGAAAAAAAATATACTAAAGCCAAAACATTTTTTTTTTTATTAAAAGAATTATTTATTTAAATACTTGCAAAGAAATTAGTTATCTTAATCAAGCAGCTAATATATTTGAATTAGTAAAATATAAAATAGAAGCAAAATATGCTTTTATTTGCAAATAAAAAAATGAAATTGTTTTTTTTTATTTTTATTATACTAAATTACTTTAAAAGAAAAAAACATTTTTTAAATTTTGGCTGCTTGTTTAAAAAACACAGGATTTCTTTTTAATAAATAATTTTTCATCTTTTTACTACATGCAACTAATAATTTATTTAATATAATAAAACATTTTTGGGAACAAAGTATATATTTATTTAAGTAAAAAGAATCAAAATTAACAAAATATATTCATTTGATTGATTGAAAAAAATTTTATTTTCGGTATAATTTTGCATAATTTTAATTTTTTTGTATTTCTGTAATTTTTTATTATTTTGAGATAATTGTTATACGAGATAGAAAATTTATACGTGTTAAATGCAATGTTATACATGTCAATATTAATATCTGATTACGCACTCTTACATATATATCGGTTAAAATATTGAGCTTCTTTTCTCTCTCGACTTATATTAGCCACCATCCGCTGCTTCTCAACCTTTTGACGCTTATCCGAAGAGCGAGGAATACGTTCGAGAAGAGTGCCCATTCTTTGGGTGTTTATGTTCTCGAGAATGCTTAACTCGTCTGCAGATGCTTCTGTCGTGGGTGTAAATGTGCGAGATAAAATACTTTATATAATGATAACACTTCGTAAGAAATCTCTATAAAATGTCACGATGGAAAATGTTGATCGTTGCTACCCAAGAAATCTAATAATGATAAACAGTAGATAAATAGATAAATTTTGAGATAAAAACCACACACAATGATTAATACAAATTTAACATAAAATATACTTATGAGAGTGTATGTAAGAGAAAAATAAATAATGATGCACAAATAGCAGAAAGAATTAATATAGAGGTACCTAGGAAAATTTTGTTATAAATTAATCCCTAGTGTGTATTATAAATTTCATTAAATTCTCATCTCTCTCTATGAGATTCAAATAATCTCATTTAAAAGACTTCATCAAACTTGAAAAGTTTTGATTGTACTACTTTAAGAATATAAGGCTTTACTTTTCATGTTTTATTATTGTAATTATGCCGCAAATATAATTATACCGTTTTTGATAGATCTTAAAAAGATCTCCTATAAGAGGAGCCGAGAATAAAAAGAACTTGACAAATAATTACTTTATTCTCGGACGTAAATGTTCCCTTATTATTGCATTAAATTATAAATAGAAGAGTTTTATAGAAAAATAAAAGAATCATTAAAATGTATATATATATATCGAACGTTATAGAATGTTATCGATAGCAAAAGTACGTAATTAATAGAATAATTGATAAAATAGAAAAGAAAAAATACAGCAGACCGGATAAGAAGAACGGGATAGAATGTATATATGTGTGTGTTGTGTATGTGTGTTGGGGAGCGAATAAAAAGGCTGCTTTTATAACGCGGTGGAATGATGTTTTAAAATGAGATCGAGGCGTGAATGCAGGCCGGACGAGGCACGGTAAAAATACTAAAAGATACCTGAACGAGAGGTTCTCCCTGGTTGGCAAGCATAAGAAAGCTTCGGGCAGAAGTAGGTGAGCTGTGAGAGCGAAAAATGGGGGAAGGAGGGAGAAAATCTGGCAAGTATCTTTATGTATAATACAACAAGTTCGAGTGTGCACGAGCGGACGCGCGCGCTCGACGCCGCGAAAACTGGGTCATTTGCACCGGCGCAAAGTAATGGCGCAGTGAAAAAAAGCACTTACATGTCTGTGGAGAAGGGTTTGAAAAAAGCCTTTTGTGCGAAATACTGTGCGTTCCATTCGCGCCCGCAAAATCGACTCTTTCGAAATGTCAATGGCGCGGAAAGCCGCGAAAGGTTGCCCGTCCTTCCGATCACTCTCTCCCTACACTGTTGGAAAATTTGGCTTAAATTTAGCATACATCGCATATTCCAAATAATCCACACAAATTCCTGTGTTAATTTAACAATACGGATATGTTAAATGGTGACGCTAATATTATGTTAATATTTCAACGCGAGAAATAAATGCAAACTTCATAGTAATTTGAAATAAATTTTGAGTAAAATCAACATATTTTTAACGATAAAATTAACTTGAAAAAATGTTATTGATGGTCTGTAGTCATTCTCATTCCTATTCTAGAATAAAATCAACATCTTTTTCTGTAAATTTTGACACATAAATCCTTTTACTAATAATACGGAATATATCTATCGTGTAAAATTAAAAATATGTGCACGTTGTGTTATTTTCAAATTTTTTTCAGTAATTTTAATAATTTAATATTTGAGTTTAATTAACACAACAACAATATGTTAAATTAACACATGAATGTATTAATTATTTAACACAGAAATTTTAATCGGCATATTTTTTAACAAGGAAACAAATTTTCCAGCAGTGTACGAATATCATTCTCGGTGAGATGTGTGTATTTTCATCGCGACAACCAGTGTCAATAATTGTCTCGTCTAATTGTCTCGCGAACGTGGATTAATTCTTAATGAGCGGAAGCCGAGGACACAGATTTTTATCCCGAAAATGTTACCTCGTGGCACTGAAACATCCGACAGATTTCACCAGATTTAAATAAGATATAATAGCTATATAGGTGAATGCTAAATTAAACTGAATTAAATGTCCAAGGGTATGCTAAATATACAAACACCTGCTTGAAACGCTTGAAATGTTATTAATAGAGTAACCACACATATATATATATAAGAATTTAAAATACAAGAATATTTCCTTAACACAAATTTCAAAGGAAATCTATTTGAGGTGTTAAAGTCGTCTTGTATAAAAACGCGTATTCAATAAAAATAAAATAAAATAATAAATGTAATCGGTTCTAAAATAAATTGTAATTTAAATTCCTGTTCGGATGAATATTTGTCTATCTGATGAATAATATCATCTCCTATAAAACGTGAAAAAACAATGTATTATATTTCACATATATAGAACAACTCAATATACAGTCTATTCTCTCATTTCTTTCGGCTATTATTTAACTGGAAATGAAATTAAAGTACAAACTTTTAACTGATTTTAACAGTATTCGGTGATAGGGTGGTGGAAATTGAAAAATGCAAATGCAAAGCACGACAGAAAAAACGACATCTGGTAGGTTATCAAGCTGATTATCAAGTTGCAAAACATTTCCCCGATGCAATATTAGAGATCGAATTCTGAGCATTCGATTCTACTTTCAAAGGACCAGAACTCAAACCTTAGTAGAGCTCGTGTGCCGAGTAGCTTGGATGCACGAAGGAAGCTACATGATTTTCGCAAAATTAAATTTCATTGAACTAGAGAAAAGCAGAGTATTCTCTATTCTCGCGTAGAGAGAAGTTCTCTTCATCTTGTGAATTCGCGCATAACGATCCGCACGATATTTGTCCGTATATTATGATGTGCACGAGGTAGATAGAGGTACATGAAAATTCCACGGCACTATCGATTTCGCATACAAAGTGGAAGTAATTTGCATGGCGATATATATGTACATTTCTCGGCTTCCTATACTCTGATTTCGGTCGGCGCGATCTAACTCAGTATACACACGCGAAATGGGCGTTTAATAACTCGACAATCGACCACGATGGCAGTGGCTTGAAAGTTCGCTTTAGAAGCTATCGAACGAATCGTACACTCAAAAAAGTGGTATTGCAACAACAGCAAAAATTTTCTGGGTGCGCAAAATTAACTGAGGTACATAAATGATTAGCAAATACTGTGATATCGCATATGTTTCGCATTTAATCAATCTAAGTGACAGAGACAGAATTTATATCTGAACTGTTTGTGAAAATTAGAAAGAATGTTTTTCTGTGGCGCCTATCCATGTTAAGGCCAATCATACTTGTCATAAAGTTTGGCTGTGGTACACAGAAAAAATTAGCGACAAGAAACAAATGAATATATAATCCCCACATCTAACATATTTGTATAACGCGCCCAATCTATCCAGCTCTTTTAAACAATTTCTCTCAATTTTTCGATGCTGCAGTTATAATTGGCAGTTATATTTCTCACAAAGATCGTTCCAGCTGTAGTATCGAAACTCATATTTATCCAATGCAGTGATTAACATTTGGCAATGGGACCTAAATTTTCTAGAAGATATTATTAGAATATTGCTGCTATAAATTCTATATGTAACAGACAATATTCTAACAGATACAAAAAATAGCGATAAATTTTTGTTGTGACACCTAGAAATCTACCTATATCAGCAAGACATTTTTTTGAGTGTATAATTACGTAATACACACATCCATCAGTATAGTTATGTTTAAAAAACATTCCTATAAAAAAAAAAAATTTTTCTAAAGATCTCTCTCTCTCTCTCTCTCTTT